GGATTTTGGCATCTATGTTCATCAGGGATATTGGCCTATAGTTTTCTTTCTTTGTAGTGTTGTTTTGTGTTTTTTTCTGGTTTTAGAATTAGAAGTATGCTGGCCTCATAAAACAAGTTTGGAAGTCTTCCTTATTCTCCAATTTTTTGAAATAGTTTAAGGAAAATGGGTGATAGTTCTTTTTTGAATGTTCGGTAAAACTCCCCTGTGAATCTATCCAGGCCTGGGCTTCTGTTTGCTCAAAGAGTCTTGGTTACATCTCCACTTTCCTTAGTTGTTTTTGGACTGTTCAATTTTTCTATCTATTCCCGGTCCAGTTTTGAGAAACTTTATGTTTCTAGAAATCTGTCCATTTCACTTAGATTGTTGAGTTTGTTGACATATAATTGTTCATAGTAGTTTTTAACTATCTTGTATTTCTGTGGTGTCAATTGTTACTTCTCCATTTCATTTCTTATTTTGTGTATTTAGCTTCTCTCTCTTTGTTTCTTGGTGAGTCCAGCTAAGGGTCCATCGATCTTGTTTATCTTTTCAAACCAGCTCTTTGTTTCATTGATCCTTTGAATTGTTTTTTTGGTCTTTATATCGTTTAATTCTGCTCTGATCTCTACTGTTTCCTTCCTTCTACTTGCTCTGTGGTATTCTTTTTGTTTGCTTTTTAGTTCTTTAAGTTGTGATGTTAGATAATCTAGTAGAGATTTTTGTTGCTTCTTGAGTTAGGCCTGTAGTGCTATGAACTTCCCTCTCAGAACTGCTTTCACTGCATCCCATAGACTTTGTGTTGTTGTGTGTTCATTTTCATTGGTTTCCAGGAAGTTTTTAATTTTTTCCTTGATCTCCTCGGTGACCCATTCATTGTTTAATAACATGCTATTTAGCCACCATGTGTTCCAATGTCTTTACATGTTCTTGTTGCAGTTGATTTCTAGTTTCATGCCATTGTGATCTGAGAAGATGCTTGATATGATTTCAATCTTCTTGAACTTGTAGACACTTAGTTTGTGTCCTAACATGTGGTCTATCTTTGAGAATGTCCCATGTGCACTTGAGAAATATGTGAATTCTACAGTTTTGGGGTGTAACTCTCTAGATATTTATGAAATCAATTTGATGTAGCACTTCCTTTAGAGTCCCTGTTACCTTGCTAATTTTTTGTCTGGAGGATCTATTCAATGACATCAGTGGGATTTTGAAGTCCCCTGCTATGATTATATTGGTATCAATTTTTCCTTTGAAGTCTTCCAGAAGATTTTTAATATATATTGGTGCTCCTATATTGGGTGCATATATGTTTATCAAGGTTATATTTTCCTCTTGGATAGATCCTTTCAGTATTATGTAGTGGCCTTCTTTGTCTCTAGTTATGGCTTTCATTTTCAAATCTATTTTATCAGATATGAGTATTACTACCCCAGCTTTTTTTTCCTTTCCATTTGCTTGGAAGATTTTTTTCCATCCCTTCACTTTCAACCTATGTGAGTCTTTTATTGTGAGGTGGGTCTCTTGTAAACAACTTATATATGAGCCATGCTTATTATCCAATCAGCTACTCTGTGTCTTTTTATCAGAGCATTCGATCCATTTACATTTAAGTTGATAATTAATATGTACTTATTTATTGCCATTTTTGTTTAGTGTGGTTCTATTTTTCTTCCTATTTCTCACGCTAATTACAGCAGTCCTTTTAACATTTCTTGCAGTGCCATTTTGGTGCTAATGTATTCCCTTCACCTTTTTTTTTGTCTGGGAAGCTCTTTATTTGACCTTCTATTTTGAATGATAGCCTTGCTGGATAGAGTAGTTGTGGATTCAGTGACTTGTTTTTATGACCTTGATTACCTCATGCCTTTCTATTCTGGCCTGTAGTATTTCTGTTGAGAAGTCAGCTGAGAGCCTTATGGGGATTCCTTTGTAGGTAATCTATTGTTTATCTCTTGCTGCTTTTAGGATTCTCTCTTTGTCCTTATATTTTGGCATTTTGATTACTATGTGTCTTGATGTGGGCCTGTTTGGGTTCTTCTTACTTTGGGCTCTCTGTGCTTCTTGAACTTGAATGCCTTCTTCCTTCACCAAATTAAAGAAGTTTTCTGTCACTATTTCTTCTAATATATTCTCTAAACCTTGCTCATTTTCTTCTTCTTCAGGGACCCCTATGATGTGAATATTACATTTCCAGTTGTCCCACAGTTCTCTTAAGCTGTCTTCCTGTTTTTTAATTGTTTTTTTCTTTTTGGTTTTCTCATTGGTTGATTTTTTTCCACCCTTTCTTCTAATTCGCTGATCTGGTCTTCAGCTTCCTCTACTCTGCTGTTTAGACTTTCCAATGTGTTCTTTTTTTCTGATATGTCATTCTTCATTTCTTCTTGGTGGTTTTGAATTTCTAGCTGGTTGATTTTCAATGTTTCTATGTCTTTACTCATGATACTCATGTGCTTACACATGCTGTTGAGCTTCCTCAAGATCATGGCTCTGAATTCTAGTTCTGTTAACTTTCTTAACTGCACTTCATTTATCTCATCTTTGGTAGAGGTCACTTGTTCTTTCATTTGGCATTTGTTTCTTTGTTTTACCATTTTGGCTATTTCACCAGTGGGTTTTCGAGCCTGCCAAATTTTCCCTGTGAGGGTTGGTGTTCTGTTACTTGGGGCACCTTCTACTGGGGTTGGATGAGTGTGGGAGGATCCACGTTAAATACCACTGTCAAGTCTTACCTCCCTGGGCAGAGTCGCAAGCCCAGGAATGGTTCAGTTATTCTCTAGCTTTTTGCCTGGAGGCTATTAGTCACAGTTACTTGAAGAGCCTTGGCTTCTCAGTTGAATGAAAAACTCCCTCAGGTGTTCAGCATAAGGGGATTTCCCAAAGGTGGGGTAGGTGCTGGTTGTTAATGAGCCTCAATTTGCATTTCAATGGCCACTGGGTGGGGTTGAATCTCCAAGGGAGGGGCCACCACCTCTCCCCAGAGCCCTGGGAAGGAGTAAGATGACCACTGTCTGGCGTGGCCACAACTCAGTGAAAGCTCTGAGCACCCTCCAAATCCTGAGTGTCCTCACACAGTTCCAGTCCTCTGCCAGAGCCCACGGTGAGGGTCTGTGGCTATTTTAGTGCCTGTCCCAGCTCTGTGCCGTGGAGCTGCTTGGGAGTGTATCCTGAGGGAGCTGCTCAGAGCTAAGGCTGCTGCCATCTGTGGGCTCCCAGGCCCTCTCTCATGCCTCCACAACATACCATGATTGAGTCAGTGCCCCTGATTACATGTTCCTCCAAGCTGCTTCTCTGTAGCTTTTTCCTAATGATTTGTCTTTATTTTTGTTGTAATTCTGGTTTGGTCCTGGGAGATGGTCTGTGTAGTTTCCATTCACTCTGCCACCATTTTGGAATCCCCTCTATCTAAAAAATTTAATGCAAAAAAAAATTTTCGGCGACACCCAAAAAATTCAGGCTCTCAACCCACTCATGATCATTGTGTGCTATCATTGTGCTGATAGCATCACCCTCCCCTCAGCCTCCCTCGTTCTCCACTCCTCAGCTGGCCGTCTCTGCTAACTCTCTCTGCACTTTGCAGAAAGACAGTCCCTCTGTTGGGGGGAAGACTCAGAACTATGGGAGAGTCCCAGGGGATCAGCTGAGGGAGAGGCACCTGGGAATGAGGAACTGCTCCCCCCGTGCCCACTTCTCAGAGTCCTGCATCATCCAGGCACCTGTCCCAGGAGCTGCCCTGGGGACAGAGGGAGTCAGGCTGGAGCGGTGTGCCTGGGAGGAGGGCTCCTGAGCCGAGTCGCACTGCCCTGGTGCCCAGGGCCAGCTTGTGAGGTCCAACAGCGCTGACAGTCCTCCTCTGAGTCTGTCTTCGCTTGTCCCTGCTCCTCCCTTCACGAACCAGCAGCCTGAACTGACCCAGTGGCCCCTCAGGGTCCTGCCCATCAGCAGGCACATTGAGAGCAGAGTCCAGGAGCAGCCTGGAGCTGCAGGCCCAGCACAGCCCGCCCCTCAGCCCGAGGTCACCTGTCCTTTCAGCCGGCCCAGCTCCTGGGCACAGGCTCCCTCCACGGTCCCGCTCAGGCCCCTGGACAGCACGGTCTGCGGAGGGGCGGGCTGTGCCGCTCGCCGGCCCGGAGGCAGCACACCTGCCCGGGTGGTGAACAACAAGACCGTGGTCTCCTGGAGCCCTCAGGGGCCTGGCCTGTGCTGGACTTCCTACACGCTGTCCTCCCCACACGTGCCCGCTCACCTCCTCGCAGACAAGAATCGAGGCTCAGAGACACTGCGGAGCTTTGCACAGGGCTGTGGTCCTGGAGGGGGAGGGGCGGCGGGGAGCTAGAGCAGGTCTCCTGCCTGTGCCTCTGACCCCAGCCTCTCGGTGGGCCGCAGAGCCCTCCCCCACCCAGCTGAGCATCTAGGTTGTGTGGACCTCACTAACCCCTGTCCTGTCAGCCGAGGCCTGCAGTGAGGGCTGCTCTGTCCCCCACAGAGGATCCGACTTCCCACTCGGGGCTGGGGCAGAGCATGTGATCAGGACCAGTGGTGGGGTCTGAAGCCAAGGGTTCCACAGGCTGTGGTTCCAGCTGTGGCCTCCTACCCCACTGTGGTCCCAGCAGATGGGGCCATCTGAGGTCATATGAAGTACTTGGACAAGGAGTGGGGGCGATGCCTGGTGCTGGTCGACTGGGTGGAGGCTGCCCAGACCCACCACAAGCCTCTCACATGTGTGCTTTCTGCAGAGCAAGACGTCTACTGACACTCTAGTCACGTCATTGCCTATCCCAATTATCCTGTGGCCCATCTCTACCACTCCCGCTACTACTACCACCACCACTACCACTACCACTACTCCTACGACTACCACTACCACTACCACGAGTCCCACCACTACCACTACCACCACCACTACCATGACCATGGGACCTACGACTACCACTGCCACTACTCCTACGACTACCACTACCACTACCACTACCACTACCACGAGTCCCACCACTACCACTACCACCACCACTACCACGACCATGGGGCCTACGACTGCCACTGCCACTACTCCTACGACTACCACTACCACTACCACGAGTCCCACCACTACCACTACCACCCCCACTACCACGACCATGGCACCTACCACTACCACAACCACTACCACTACCACGAGATCTACTACGACTACTACCACGAGGCCCACTGATATCACTACCACCACCACTACCACAACCACAAGACCTACAACTACCACTACCACTAGGCCTACCACTACCACGAGGCCCTCCACTATCACTACCACGAGTACTATGACTACCACTACGACTATCACTACCACTACCACTACCACTATCACTACCACTACCACAGGACCCACTACTAACACTACTACTAGTACCACGAGACCTACGACTAGCACCAGCACTACCACTACCCTGCAGCCCACTATTACTTGTCTCCAGCCACATGCTCCACCACACCGAATTCCCTCACTACCCACACAATCACTAGTATCTGTACCTGGTTGTGCTCGTCTCAATTGTGACCATGTGCCCAGTGCTGCTCTGCTGCTCCTCGTGCTGCAAGAGGGTGAGTAACTCCTGCCCGCACTGTCCTGTGGTCCCCCAGGGAGGAATCATGATCCAGCCCGAGGCGAGGTTCCCCTCAGCTCCAGCACCGACACATGAGCAGACAGAGGTACAGACTCTGTCCTCCATTCCCGGGCACAGACGCAGCCTGGGCTTCCTGGAGCCTCCTGCCTCGTGCTTGCCTCTGGGAGGAGGCCTAGGTGCTGCCCTGGCCCCGGGGCATCAGGGACCACAGACACGGGACAGGGCTGCCTCACAGCAGCCAGGACTCCGAAGGCCTCAGGGGGCACAGCCTGGGAGGCCTGTGGTGCTGGGGGAAGAGGTGTCTCACAGGAGGCACCGGGGCCCCAAAGGGGAAACTCTCTGCACAGGAGGGTGCGTAACCTCCGGGGCAGCGGTGCCTTTGGAAAGCAGCACAGGTCTCTGCATGTCTCCAGTGCCCCTGCATTTCTTGTTCAGTCACTGCTAAGGGCCAGGAGGTGCTGGGCCTGTGCTGGGAGAAGGGGACAGATAGGAAGTTGCCAACGTCCTCGCTGGACCTCAGTCTGGTATCTGGTCTTACAATGGTGCTGGGAGCTTTTGAGGGTAAAAGGTCAGCTCCATCATGTGTGGCAAGTGCCTGTGTAACCAGAGAAATAGCAAAGGACAGAGACGGGCCCTAGGGAGGGACTGAGGCAGTGGCCCTGCTAGCTGGGTTTGCAAGGACACAGGCCAGAGAGCTGGATAAAGAGAAAAGCTGCCTGGCCGGTGTGGCTCAGTGGACTGAGCATTGTCCCATGGACGGAAGGTCCGGATTTGATTCCCAGTCAGGACCTATGCCCAGCTTGCGGGCTTGATCCCCAGTAGAGGACATGCAGGAGGCAGTCAATCCATGTTTCTTTCTCACATTAATGTTCTATGTCTTTCTCCATTCCTCTCTCTCTAAAAAAATCAATAAAAAATATTTTTTAAAATAATGAAGAGAAATCTACAGGTGTGAAGGACAGAACAACCAAGAAGTAGCCACCAGGTCAAATTACTGTGAAGGAGGGAGGATGGAAGAGAGAAAGCCCTGGGTGGTGGGGGGATCGTCACCTCTGAGGGCTGAGAGGACACAGAGGGCTGCGGGGGGGGGGGGGGGCATGTCCTTTGCCTTCACATGAAGGTGGGCAGCTGAGGAAACTACCCTGTGGGGCCTCAACCAGGGACCCGGCTCCTCAGTCTGGCATCTCCCTGTCGACCCACAGGGAGCTTTCTACTCCCTTTGATAACTGAGGAGCCTGAGGCCCAGGGAGGAGGAACTGTTGGCCACTTGCCCCAGGACTGGGGACCCAGACTGACACCCCACGGCCCACGTACTGTCCTGCAGCTGCAGAGCAGGGTCCCCCTGTCAACATGGCCAACCAGCACCCCCATGCCCCATCCAGCTGTGCTTATGTCTCTTTAATATTCTAGTGTGAAGGAGCCACCCCCAGTGAAAAAAAAAAACGGAAAAGGTAAGTCGTGGTGGGGTCCTGACGTTGTCTGCTGGCCTGATACCACAGTGACCTTGACAAAGAGGCCTCCTGCAGCCTAGGGGCGATTTCCACTGCCCACACCTCCTGTCCCGCCCACCTGTGCAGAGAGCTGGGACAAACACGAGGGTGACAGAGGGCAGGGCAGGGACAAGGAGGGCCGGGAAGACACAGATTGTCCCCGAACACCATTCCCGTGTCCTAACACGGACTGATCCAGGGCCCTGTCACTGCATCAGCTGTTGGGGACCCTGCTTCAGCAAGTGCTTTGATCTCCACTGAAGTAAAAAGGGCTTTTCTGTGAATTCCCAAAGGACTGATTTTAGGATGGTCCTTCCCCAAGATGAGGGGAGCTTTTGGAAAAGGATCCTCAGGTCAGGCACCTGGTCCCTTCTGGGTTCTGGGTCCATTGGGCTCCGTTTCCTTGGTCTCCTCCCTGTGTCCTGCCAGGGCAGGGGCTTGGCCAGGGGTGACCTGTAAGGACTGCAGGGCTGAGGAGGTGCAGGGAGTCTGACCTGGCCCCCAGCGGTGAGGGAGTCCCTGCCCAGGTGAACACTGGACCCTTGCTTTGCACCCTTGACATTGGACACTGGGATTGTGAGTCAGAGAGGTCAGTCTGGGCAGCTGCCAAGGAGGATGCTCAAGACAAGGAGAAATGGGGGCCCAGGAGCCTCCCAGGTGATGCTGGACATGGCACCATGCATTTTCCTTGACTGGTCTCAAGAGGATCAGGAAACTCTTACCTAGAGCATGTACCTCGCACTCGCCCCCTTATAGTGCAAGACAGCACGTTGTGATGGGCTCCCTGCCCTTCATCCCTCCTCACTGATCACTCACTGGTCTGCTGCCTCCACCCGTCCACCGAGTCGCTCCTGGGGGGGTCAGTAGGGGCCAGGGGTGGTTGAGAGCATGGTGACTCGCCTCCCAATGTTGTCTGACCAACACTGACTGCTCTTGCCAGGTAGTAATTTTTTTTTTTTTTTTTGATCATTGCCTGTGACTCAGAGAAGCCAACTCATTACAATTTTCCTCCTTAGAATTTAATCATAACAATGGCTAATTTTTACTGGGTCCTTCCCATGGGCTGCCTTGTAGCCTAAGAACTTAGCGTGTTTTTACTATTTTAATTTTTCCAGTACAAGTAGGGATTCACATTTTTGCACATTACTATGGGGGAAGCTGATGCACAGAGAGTCTGAGTGACGTGTCCCAGGTCACAAAGGCCAGAGTGGCAGAGCTGGACTTGAACCTGAGGCCTAGCTCCACCCTCCTCATTTCTCTACCCCTTTTGCGTCAGCACCCCTGACCTCAGGGGGTTACCCCCAAACCACCCGCAGGCTGCCCTGCTCAGGCCCGGGGCCCAGGAGAGTGGTGCTCGGGCCTCCCCTGGGACTAAGCCAGGGGTTTGCGGTGCTCAGACCCTTTGGTCAGATGGGCCAGACAGGCTGGAGGGTGCCTGTCCCCAGGGTCTTTAGAGAGGACTGCAGGGCCACTTCAGTGAACACAGGCTCGCAGTGAAGAGGCAGGTGGGCATTTAGAAGCTCTGGGCTGTATCATTTTCATTCCTGTATAGCAGGCATTGGGAGCTGCAGCCCCCACAGCCTGTCACCCATCAGGGGGGGCCCCAACTGCCCTTGCCCTGGGGGTGTGTATCCCGATCTAAGGGCTGGTGGCAGGGCTCGTCCCTTCAGCACACTCTCACTTAGCAAGAACGGCAGAGCTAGAGTGGTGGGGCTGTATGGCCCCTCATCTTTGTCTCCCGGCTCCCAGCCCAGGGTACCAGACAGGTTGCAGCACAGGGAGCCCAGGGTCAACACACTAGTGCTGCCCTCAGAAGGCAGGACAGACTTTTGATGCCTGAACCAAGTCCCCGAGGAGGAGCCCTGGCTGGAGGGCAGCGCCCAGGAGAGGAAGGTCATCACAAATGTCCACCCTGTGGTCCTAGTGCATCCTGACCCCGACCCACTGGAGCCCAGAAGACCACAGCCTCTGGTGCCCATTCCAAGGACTTACCAGGGACATGCTCTCTCTTCCCCACAGGGCACGTGCCTGGATGTCACTGCAGTGAACCCTTGCTGCACACGAACGCCTGTGGCCCCGTGAGCTGCCCTGGGCCCAGCCAAGACTGCTTCCCCCTCAGCAGCCCCTGCTCATGGGGCCAACACCCCCACAGATATGCTCCAATCCTCCCTCAAGAATGCTGCCGCTGATGCCTCCCACAACCCGGGCACCCTGCAGACAGTCTAGAGACTCCAGCCCCCACACTCAACCTCTGAAGTTCCAAACACCCTGGATTATTCAGAGCCCTGTGTGAACTGCACTGGACACATATGGAGTCCAATACTGAACACTGAGACTTGGTTTCAAGTCAGAAGGAGTGGGATCTTGCTGCGGATTAAATGAGACAGTATTATCGGGTGAGCATTGCTCTTGTGTGAGACATACCTACCAATACTAGTCCTACAGAATAAGGCCCCCTGGTGTTCTGTGGATGGAAAAATGGCTGATTCCCACAACCCACAGCCTGGGCTGCATCTCTCGCCACGGGCTGGGACAGCTGCAGTTTCAGTCAAATTCTGTTCTTTGAAAAAAAATTCCAACCCGTATTTAAAATACAAATAAATGCTATGTCTATATTCACTGGTTTTTCCTGAACTCTTGGGCAAGTTACTTAATCTACATGTGCACTACTTTCCGAATAAAAAATGGGGATAATGGAGTCTCCATCACAGGTGTCATGAGGCCTCAGTGCGCTCAGCACAAGCCAGGCCCCGGGAAAGACTCGGGGCCCAGGAGCTAAAGTTCCCCCTTGCCCCAGGGCAGGAGAAGGATATGAGCTCAGGGAAAACAAGACATATTTTGAATGTTCGGGGCCATCAGATTGCAGTCCATGCCCGGCTGTTCCCTCTGTACCCAGGGTGTTGGCACTCTTGAACATTCTCACTGAGGAGGGCACTGACAACATGTGGGGTCACACCTGACTCACCACCCACATATCCTCCTAGAAGCCTTTGGAAAAAGTCCTGCACTTACTGCAATCTTCAGAAATAGTATTTCCCCTCCCATGCCCTTAATACTTCTCATGATCTGAAAGAAATCAATGATGCCCACTTTCCTGAGTTAAAATCTGCTCCTCCCCTGACACAGCTGGGCCACCCAATCATTCACATCTCTTCTCATTAAGTCTTTGTGAACTTGATCAAGTTTTCCTTTCAACTAAAGTTTGAGGACTATCGAAGGTCAAGACTTCGTCTTGAACATCCTACCCATGGCAGTGAGGCTGAAGTAACCTGCTGAACCACAGAATCACAGCAGACCCGAGTTAAAGGATAGGAGGAATGGCTACACTCTGACCACATCACCCTCCTCAGGTCATCCTTGCTCTGCATAGAGATGCCTGCCCCATGGTCTAAGGTTTTTCCTGTGGGAAATACAGCCCATGGAGGACAATCAGCTTCCCCCAGATTTACGGGGTGCTTCCCAAGCGGCCCATCAGGTGTCTCCTAACCAGGATCACATGCGGAATCTGAAGGACTTGATAGTGGCATTGGACTTGGATGGAGAAGGCAGGCAGGTCGTCCAGCAGGAAGCGCCGAGATATGGGCAGACCATGTCCTCCTCATAGTGGTTGCTGAGTAGTATTTACAAGCAAAGTCATTGTACAGTAATAGAGGAGAACCCATCAAGAAGATATACCGATTACAAATATTTATGCATCTCACATGGGAGCACCAAAATATATAAAGCAACTACTAATGAAACTAAAGAAGAAATTAACAGCAATGTGGTAATAAATGAGGACTTTAATTTCTCACTCTCAACAACAGAAAGATCATTCTGACAATCAGACAACATCAGATTTGAACAACATTATAGACCAACCAGACATATACATTAAATTCCATTCAACAACAGCAGACTGTACATTTTCTCCAAGTACCTATCGAATTTTTTTTGTGATAAATATTACGGTAGGCCACTAAACAAACCTATTCAAATTTAAGAAGCTTTAAATCATGCTATGTTTTCCAACCACAGTAGTGTGAAACTGGAAGTGAATAACATGAAAAAGCTGGAAAATATTGAATACATGAAAATGAAGCAACACACTCCTGAACCACCAGCGGATCAAGAGGCAATCAAAAGGAACAATCTTAAAATCTTGAAAAATGGCAATGGAAACAGCATACTAAAACATACAAAATTGCAAAAGCAGGTTCAGAGGGAAGTTTATAGTAATGAACATGTACATTAAATAATATATATATATATATATATATATATAAACTTACTTTACATTACAAAAAAAAAAAAACTAGATAAAACTAAGCATAAAGTTAGCCAAAAATAAGGATATAATGAAGACTTAAGTAGAACTAAATGAAATAGAGAACAGGAAAACAATAAAAAAGATTAACCAAACTAAGATTTGGTTCTTTTGAAAAAATAAACAAAATTGGCAAACCATTAGATAAATCAAGAAAAAAAAAAAAAAAAAAACTCAAATAAATAAAATCATAAATGAAGAAGAAGAGATTGGAATTGATATCACAGAAATACAAAGGATCATAAAATTTTACTATGAACCACTACACACCAACAAATTGAACCCTTTGGAAGACTTGGACAATTCCTAGTAAATACAACCTTCCAATACTGAATCATGGGGAAATAGAATTCTGAACAGGTTAGTCATGAATAAGGAGACTCAATCAGTAATCAAAAACCTCCCAATGAAGAAAGCCCAGAATGAGATGGTTTAAGAAATTAACACCAATCCTTCTCAGAGTCTTCTAAAACATCGAAGAAGAACACACCCAAACTCATTCTACAAGGCCAGCATTACTCTCATATCAAAGCCAGATGAGGACACTACAAGAAAGAAATCTACAAACCAGTTTCCCTGGTGAATGTAATGCAAAAATGCCCAACCACCAAGGCACATTCAGCAGCATACCGAAAGGATATTATACCTGATCCAGTGGGATTCTCCCTGGAATGCAAGGATGGTTAAAAGACAGAAATCAATCAATGTGATATAACTCCATGATTTTTCCATATGGAATAATCTACCAGCAGATGATATTGGCTGACCTGTGGCATGGCCAAGCTGCCACTTCATCACAGACCTTGAGGGGCATTACACCTCGTGAAATAAGAGAAAGACAGACACTGCTGTATCTCACTTATGAAATCTAAAAACAAACACCCAAAACAACTGAACTCGTAGACATAGAGAAGAACAGATTTGTGGTTGCCGGAGGAAAAGGGTGGGAATGGAAATGAGCTAAGATCATTAAAAGCTGTAAACTTATTTTTATAAGACACCAGCAGCTGCCCTGGCAGCCAGTGATCCATGCCACCCTTTCTTCTCCTTGACCCCATACAAATTGAGGGAGACTTTGCTGGCCTCCACTCTCCTCAATAGCCTCAGTGTATTCTAGACTCTCAGCCCTGACACTAGGTACTGGTCCTCATCACTCTATCATATGTGTCCTGAAAGACACCCTTCCTGTCTCCTTTGGTTCTCTCAGTCTGGTCAGTGTTACACCCTCTGAGCCTCCAAGATATCTTTCAGGACCACCCTTATTTTTTCTATTAAAATAACCTGATTTCAATACCAGGTTCTCCAACCTTGGCTGAACCCATAGAATCATGAAGCATTGACCTTTGAAACCCTCAGAAACTGAGCTCCAAACTTCATATCTAAACATTGGCTGGTTTGCCTGTAATCTCTCAAGTGTTCTCTCTTCCGCAATCTAATCTGATCAGTACCCTTGGTTCAAATAACCCCCACCCTTGGCTGCAACTGTACCAATAATTGCAGTTACCTGAGACTCTGCCTACATCATCTCTCACCACTCACTGCAGATTCCTACCATGGTGATGTTTCACCCTCCCTCCCATACCTCCTGGGCCACCAATCAGGGTTCTACTGACCAACAAAGCAAGTGCTATATTCTGAGACATGAAACTGCATCCACCCCACACTGGGAAAAGCATGTTTCTATGTTTAGCACCCAATCCAGTGCACTGACTGCAGAATCAGCCCCTGGAACACAGCCCCACCATACCAGCTGTCTCTGGCCAATGCTGGATCCCTCTCAGCAGGGGGATGTGGCAGGGCTTCCTGGAATGAACTGCCCCATGATGCTCTCAGCCCCTCCTCCATTTGAAGATTGTTCCTGAGGCACGGTGGAGGGTGCACTTGCCACTATTTACTCACTTTGGGGGCGACAACCTCTCCTCTCTCGGGTCTATCAGACCCAGGCAACAGCAGGGATGTCAGCTCAGGTGGTCTGAACCCAGGGACTACAGACCCTCCATGCACAGTGAGAAGAGCCTATCAGAATTCTGATGTCCATCCCCCTCTCAGCTGAGCAGCCGCACCAGCAGCATCTTTGCTGTGCCCCGAGATTCACTCAGATTTCACTGAAGTAGTTGTCCTTATGCCTTTCTGCCAACCAAGAGCCTCCTCAGTTGTGAAATGGCAGCATTGTGCAAGATAACCGTGAGGTGGGTGACCTCACAGAATGCAAATGTATTGAGGAAATTACCCCGGAAAGATGGGACAGGCCAAGGCAAGGGGGTAGGGATGATGGGAAGAAATGTTGTTCAAGGGGGAAAGTGTGTGCAGGGACTTGAAAAACAGAGGGGTTTCTCTGCAATGAGTGGTGAGTCTCAGGTAACTGAAATTGTGGGTAAAATTGCAGCCAGGAGTGTGGGTTATTTGAGCCAAGGGTGCTGATCAGATTAGACTGAGGAAGAGAGAACACTTGAGAGACTGACAGAGAAACCAGCCCTTAGTCCCAGCTTCTTCCTTCCTTCATTTTGTCACTAAGTGATCTGGACGCCTGTGAGGGGCGGGGGGTATGGTGACATAGGTCACAGGCTCTGGGATTCCCAAGATTTTGGAGCATTTATGACAAAAATTAGATTATAAAGTACAAAAATGGGAAATCTCAGGTGGGGAAATCTCAGGTGGGGAAAACAGGATTCACAACATCCATTAGAAATTTGGAGTTTGTCCTGAAGCACAACTTTTCTTTTATGAAGAGAGCCCATTGATGAAGATGGAAATGAGGTATCAAACCCCAGTGTGAGGGCTCACACAGCCTTAGAGAAGTCACAGAGCATCCATGATGACCTGGAGACAGTCTGTGGTCTCAGCATTCTGAGTCCAACTGAACTGGTAATCACTAGTGAGCATAAAATAGAAATACTCTCAGATGTGCAAAGCCTAAGGATATCATTCACACAAGTTTGGTGGAAGAATTGCTAAAGATTGTGCTTCAGAATAAAGGAAACTGAATTTGGGCAAAAGGAAAGAGTATTAAGAACCAACGGTGGCCCTGGCTGGTTTTGCTCAGTGGTTAGAGCATTGGCCCATGGAACAAAGGGTCAGAGATTTGACTCCTCATCAAAGGTTGGCATGTGGGAGAAGTGCACAAAGTGTGCTGGGGGTGTTGAGGGAGGTTTTTGATCCACTTTGGATAGTACAGAGAGGGCAGGAGCAAGATATCTCTGGGAGGACTGACATTCTGAGGCAGCACACCCTTGCATACCAGATTCATCAGCTTTAGGACACTCCTGAATAGGAAGTAGAGGAAAGAAAAGGTAGTGGAGACCAGGGGCCCCTCTGCTATCAACAGCTAGGGAAACAGGACTGTAAAGGAAGCTCAGTTGCCCAAATATGAGTGCAGATAAGTAACAAGGGCCACTGAACTGGAAGCAAATCACACGGACTTTGGGGAAAAAGGAGATTCCAAAATGGTGGCAGAGTGAATGGAAGCTACACAGATCATCTCCCAGGGCCAAACTGGAATTACAACTAAAATAAAGACAAATCATTGGGGAAAAGCAACAGAAAAGCAGCGGGACAGGACCATATAACCAGGGACACTGAATTGATCCTGGTAGGATTGCGGAGGCACGCAAGAGAGGCTGGGAGCCCATGGACAGCAGCCATCTGAGCTGTGAGCAGCACCCTCGGAATTAAGCTCCCAAGCCCACTCCACAATGCAGAGAGCCAGGACAGAGCACTAAAATAACTGCAACCACTCACCTTGGGCTCTGGCAGAGGGAGGGTAAACTGGACTGGAACCTTGTGGTGACACCTGGGATTTGGAGGGTGCTCAGAGCTTTTGCTGAGTTGTGCAATGCAGGATGTAGGCCATCTTACTTCTTCCCAGGGCTCTGGGGAGAAGTGGAGGCCCCTCCCGCAGAGATTCAACCTCACCCAGGTGGGCCATTGAAATGAAAATTGAGGCTCATTAACAACTACCATTTTCCCCACCCTGGAGAAATCCTCTTACCCTGAACACCTGAGGGAGGTTTTCATTCAACTGAGAACCAAAGGTTCTTCAAGTAACCACCACTAATAGCCTCCAGGCAAAAAGCTAGAGGATAACTGAACCATTTCTGGGCTTATAACTCTACCCAGGAAAGTAAAACTTGACAGTGGTGTTTAACGTAGGACCTCTCATGCTCATCCAACCACAGTAGAGGGAGCCACAAACAGCAGAACCCCAACACCCATAGGGAAAATTTGATAGGCTCCAAAACCAACTGAGATAGCCAAAATGGTGAAACAAAGAAACAAACCCCAAATGAAACAACAAGAGA